TTTTGCTGTCGCATTTGGGTGGCTACCTTGAAGACAGAGTCCTCTCCAGTCTTTTTGTTTGCTCTTGGCCTGATGATAAGCCTCAGTCTGCTCCAGTTTGGGGTCAGACAGTAGCAGGTGAGAAGGGTTTTGGGGAACAAGATATATGTCCTTTTTCACGGAGCAAAGGGAGGCCTTTTCTCTCACCTTGGTATTTTCCAAGTTTAAAAATTGCTGATGCGGCCTCCCCAGTGGCACAGCGGGTTGAACACAGCACTGTGAAGCTGTCCGCAGTCTCTGCAGCGCGGGTTCAATTCCTGGCTGGCCAGGGAGATTCCCACATGGCGGGGCAGACCTCTCCTGTCTCACCCACTGCTCCCCTCAGCGGTGTATTTAGTCAGTTGGCCTGTTCTGTTCCCTGCTCTGTCTCTGGTGGATCCTCTCACCCTCCCGCATGTCTGGCCTGTACCCCGGTTCTTGTATAAATAAATAAATCTTAAAAAAAAATGCTGGTGAGACAAATGCTCAGCTAAACAGGTTTGGCCCAACGCTGGGCAGCTGAGACCCAGAAACTTGCCAGGAGTGCAGGTACTCCAGTAAGGAAAAACAAGCAATGAATTGGACAGGACCCAGAGGGCTCAGAGAGGACAAGAGGGCCGGACTTGGACACATCCCAACTGGAAAATCTACTGTGAGTTCAAGATGATGGTTGCCACTGTCCTTGAAAAGGCTGCCTGCCAAGGCACTAAAGTGCCAGGAGCAGCCTCTCTACATATCTCTCCCCTCTCTCCTAGTTCCACAGCAATCTTATATATTCTGTGAGCCTTCCCAATTGCCCCGTTTCTCAAGTCCAGTTCATGGCGTGCTGGGAGTTGTAATCCAAGGCATCTTGCATGTTGGTGACTGGAAGTGGGGGCAAGGAATATGGTGCCAGTTGTCATGTCCACAGTCATAATCTTCCCCCTTTTGTGGTGACACATCCTGTAACACCTGTCCCTGTGTTGTTGATATTCATTCATTCAAACAAGATTTGTTAAATACCTATTGTACAAGTACTGTCATGTTAGTAACAGGTTAGTTACTGTAACATATATGTAAGGAAAACCACAAAGACTTAACTTGCCCTGTCATAGAGAATGAGTGTTTACTGAGAATTTCACACTTCCTTAAAGATAGTAGGTGGAGGTAATATACTATTAGGGGCTATGTGTTTTTGTCCTTTCAAAATGCATCTATTGCAACCCAACCCCCAGTGGGAATGGCATGGGGAGGGAAGGGGGAGGCAGGGAATGGCATGGCAGGGGGAGGGAAGTTTGGACACAATTATGAGGCATCCTTATGATTTCCTTAGTTCCCATATCAAAAGAAAAAGAAACTAGGCCTCTCTTTCTCTGTCATGTGATGATACAGGATGGTGGCATCTAGAAGCTAGGAGGTGGGTCTTTACCAGATACCAGACTTGCTGGTGTCCTGATCCCAAACTTCTAGTCTCCAGAACTCTGGGGAATTCCCCTTTGTTATTTGAAAACTGCCTAGTCTATGGTATTCTGCAAAATCTGTGCAAACTGAAACAACACAAAGTACTGAATCACAGGCAGTTGCAACCACTGCCTTTCTATTCATCTGTCACTGAGTAGAGGAGCATCTCTTCTTTTGTGTGGTTTAGCTGGCCACGCTGTAGAGAGTAAGCGAAAGGTGATTTTTGGTTAGAAGCATGTGGCTTCCATGAAGGTCATAAAACCTCCGTATGAACCAGTTCCCTGACTATGAACCTGAGTGTTTGGTAGTGAGGGATGACATGAAACTTCTTTCAGCTGTCTCTATGTGGCCAACGTGCTGGCTAGTGATAATTGTTATTTAACTATCTAAGGTAAGATGTTGCAGCAAAAAAAGAAAAAAAAAAAAAAACAAAGTCCTTTTAAACTTCCTTGCATATGAAATTGAACGGGTTCCTGGCTGGAAGAGACTGTAGGGAGAGAATCAGTCAATATGCTTAGCAGTGACCTGTGTAACGTATGTAGTTGCTTTTACAGAGCTCTTAGCTGAGCCTTGGAAACTGGAGAGGCATTTAATATGCTCTCTGGGAAAGGGAGTGTGTGGTGCTGGGTAGGATATTACAGTTTCCTCAGCAAAGAACAAATTTGCACATACACCTGTGCAGCCATTGGGGCTGTGAAACCGTTTACTTGTGTCAAACTGTTGACCTGGAGGTGACTTCAGTTCCCATGCGCCTTCTTGGAGCCCATCGTGCTCTGTGGCTTGGAGCTACGACTCGAGAGCCTCATTTCAGGCCTGACCTGTCATCTGAACAGCGATTTCTTCTTGTCAGCAGCAAGTTTGTGTGCTCATCGGGAGCCCGAGGGAGATGTGGACTCAGTTACTCACAGCGAGTCAGGAACAAGGGGCGAAGGGGAACCCTATGTTTACAGAACCACTTGTCTTCAACATTAGATAAGCCTTATGTGGTTTTAGTTCTTGGGGAGAATTGCGCTGGGAAGCTCTGCAGAAGCAATGCCATGAGCACATGATGCCATGTTACTGGGGGGTGGGGAGATCTTGACTTTGAGATGGAATGTGTGGAATAAAAGGAGGTGGGATGAGGTAGGGCTGGAGGTTGAATCATATTTTTATTTATTTTTTTATTTTTGAAAGATTTATTTATTTATGCATACAAGAACTGGGGTACAGGTTAGAGGTGTGGGAGGGGTGAGAGGATTCACCAGAGACAGAGTGGGGAACAGAGCATTCAGACTGACTGAAATACACTGCTGAGGGGAGCAGTGGGCAAGACAGGAGACATCTGCTGCGCCATGTGGGTCACTTCCCTGGCCGGGGATCGAACTTGTGCTGCAGAGGCTGCAGATTGCTTCATAGTGCTGACGCTTAACCCCTTGCGCCACCAGGGAGGCCCCTGAATCATATTTTTTTTTATTTATTTTTATTTATTTTTAGATTTATTTTATTTATTTATTTATACATGCACTGGGTACAGTCAGAAGCGCGGGAGGGTGAGAGAATTCACCAGAGCCAGAGCGGGGAGCAGAGCAGGCAGAAGGACCGAAGTACACTGCTGAGGGGAGCAGCGGGCGGCAGGAGAGGTCTGCGCACCATGTGGGACCCTCCTCCGGTGGCCGGGGAGCAGCCGAGGATCGAACCGGCGCTGCAGAGGCCGCGGGCAGCTTCACAACCCAGCGCTCAACCGCCGCGCCACTGGGGAGGCCCTGAATCATATTTTTAAACCCCCTAAGAAGCTTTCTCTTTGTAGAACAATATGTCAATATTCACCTTTAATGCATCTTTCCTCTCAGCCTGGTCATCATGTTGTATCAAGCACATTTTCCGCAAAAGAAAAAATGTATAATAGCTTCATATTTGTAAATGGGCTCTGGTAGATTGAAAATAGTTTGAAACTTGAAACAGACTCAGATTGCTTTTGGGAGGGGAGGCGGCTGCCAGGAGTGGGAAGCAGGTGGTGGGATGCGGGCTTGGGTCTCAGTTGGGTGCTCACCTCTCTCTGGCGAGGTTACGGGAGGCGGTGCAGGAAGGTATCCGTGAAGGGAGGCATCCCAGTTAGTGTGGTTACTCAGTAGAATGGTGGGGAGATGCAGACTAACAGCCATAAGGGTGTTCTCCCCACCAGGAGTTGGAGATTCACCCCCGGTGACTGTGTCCCGGATGGGCCGGTTCCCAGAGGCATGAGCTATTGGCCGGCAGATACCTATTGAGGTTAAAATATCTGCTGAATTAACTGTAGCGTCACCTTTCCTCCTGGACACGTCCTGAATGAAACCCACCGGGTGAGAACCTGCATCACGAAAGAAAGACATCTAGTTAAAGGGTGACATTTTGATGAGTCATCCCCATGTAACAGAGTCACTTGGCCCAAATCAACCCATCCTTCTGTTCTCCAAGAAGTTTAAGTGTCTAGAGGGCAGAGCCTGGGAAGCTGAACACTCTTAAGCTACAGAGTTCTTGAGGGTTTTCATGCGACTTACTTATAGGCAGAATTGCCCTCTGGCTTAGCTCATTTGGAGAAAATTTCACAGTATGGAAACATAAAACCTATTTCTTTTCCAAGGATGGAGTTCTTCTAAAAATTCTGCTTGTCCAGTATTTCTTTTTCTTTCTAAATAAGGTGCTCTGGTTAGACTGGATTATTGAAAATGGAGGCTCTTTATTTTCCCTATAAGTCGCTCCTTCCACCTACAGAGCCCAAAGGGTTTGAGAAGATGCTCTTAAGCCAGGGGAGGTGCAGTGCTTCCCTGGTTTGCATCAGAGGTCGGCTAAGACAACTGGACAACTTCCTTTTACCTGAAAAGGGAGACCCAGCATTATCAACAGAGTCTATTTGACTTTTAAATTCCTATCAATAAGTCAACCTATCTCGATATATTATTACACAGGTAAGACCCTATATTGAGTGCTTAGTGATAGACCATGTCTGAAAAAGAACATAAATTGAGCAGAATTTAATGTCTCAGTGAATGACTACGAGTCTACACCCTGAAATAGTGTTGTTACTGCCCCATTGCAATTTCTGCAAGGACCCCCAGATTGACACAGAGAGGTGAAAACCTCAGTCCCAACACAAAGCAGACTACATGGCACCCCCGAATGTGTTATCATATTTGGAATGTGACGGGCTTGAGCTGTCAAATGTCTGAGTCCTCTGGCCCAAATAGTTTGCGTGGGATGGCTTTGATTCAAAAGGCTCTCTTGCTGATTTTAATTAGGTAGAAACACAATTTAAGACGAGTTATTCACTGCTTGTTAACCAAGGAAGATGGCCTAAAGCGCCGTTCTGTCCCCACGAATTTTTCAAGTGCTTTTTTTCTGGCTGTTAAAACAGGCCTTCACGTCCAGGAAAAACATGGAGGGCTTATTTAGGAAAACTTATGCCTAGAAACTGTCAACTGTAGATCACTGTAAGCTGTATAGATATGAAAAAAAAAAAAAAAAAAACCAACAACCCGGTTTTAATATGATTATGTGCGTTTTCTCTCTGGTATGTGCACATGTAGATCTGCGCATCATCGGGGGACTTCCACACCCTAACCCGCCCTTCACTGGACTGTGCTGAAGAAGAAAGAGAGCCTAAGACCCTTGGGATTTCTTAAGTGGTGAGTGCTAGAAAGGTACATTTTGTTATGTTAATGAGGTAACTTTGGAAACCTCAGAGGTGACCTAATTTGGGCACTAGTTGCCAGGAGACCGGCCTGTGACTGGAGGGTTGATACTTTCAGTCCCACCCCCTGACTTCCAGGTAATTGATTCAAAAGGGTTGAATCAATTGCCAGTAGTCAATGATTTAATCAGTTGTGTCTATGCATAAAGCCTTCATGACAACATCAGGACTGGTCGTGGAGAGCTTTAGGGTTGGAGATTTTGGGAGGGTGGTGACCTGCCGAGGGCATGGGCTCTGTGCCCTTTACTGAAGCCTTGTCCTGAGCGTCTCTTCCGTCTGGCTGTTCCTGAGTTCTAGCCTTTCATAATAAAGTGATAAGCTAGTAAGTGAAATGTTTCTCTGCGTTCTATGAGCTACTCGGACAAATTAATCAAGCCCAAGGAGCCTTGGAACCTCAGATCTACAGCTGGCTGATCCAAGGACTAGATACTGTAGGGGGCGGGGGGTGATGGAGGGAAGAATAGAAAACCTAAAGGAGGCATCACAAGACTAAAACCTGGCTCACACAAAGGCAAGAGCTGGAGGAGGAGGTAGAGGGGATTAATGTGACCATTAACCCAGCTATAGAAATCAAGATCCTTAGGCTCCAGTGCCTTAGCACAAGGCATAAGACCCAAGCCAGTATCAGACTGTTGTAGGGAGTGTCTGGAGCACCCACACTCTGACCTGAGGGTAAAGATATGGAGATTGGGCCCGCAGTGGCATCTCCAGTCTATCTCAGGTCTCCAAAATCAGCAGCAAACAGGCCTCTCCACAGAGAAACGAGCCCCTCCCAGAGAGAAGACTGTATCCGTGCAGTCTCTGCACTGGCAGGGGGCAGCAGTCCTTCTGCCCACCTGTGACTATGCAGGTGCTTCTTTTCACCAACTCTCTCCTCTTACCTGCCTGTGACCTGTACCTGCCGGGGCTTCTCTTCACTGACCTCCCTGAGCGGAGGCAGCTCTCCTCAAGGCCGCCCGCCTGCAACCACGAAGGCCTCTCTCAGCAAACCTGTCTCTTTCGGAGCAGCTCTTTCTGCCTGCTTGTGTCCATGCAAGTGTCCTTTACTCTTCGGTCCCTTTTCTAATAAACCTGTTCTTTAACTACAGCTAACATCTCTGTCTCGTGGAGAAACTTGCCTGAAAGGCTGAGGGAAAATTTATGAGGAACATTATGAAATTGATAATATAAACCATTCAGTTCAATTAAGACACATGGGGAAGTACCTTGTGAATTTACAAGCGCACACACACACAAGGGGATTCATGTTCAACGTTAGATGGTTTCTTGGTGTGGGTAGGGAAAAAAGGACGTGGGAGAAAATGGTTAACTAAATAACCAGTTAGCCAGCTCACAGCCTTTCTAACCCGTGGAGGTAAGGTGCTGTGAGCTAACGAGCATGATTCATCTTTCCGAGGACCTCTAGAAAAGGAAGAAGGAAAAGAAGCAAGGGAGGGAAGGAGAGGGGAAGGAAAAAAGAAAGGTGGGAGGCAGGAGCGGGGAAAGGAGAGGGAAGGCGAAACCACTCTGGGACATCCTGTGGGCCCAGGATGATAGCGCCCTCCTCAGGTCCTGCCAGGCCAGTGCAGCTCAGGAGAGGCCAGGGCTGCTGAAGAGGCTGCCAAGAGTCACAGGACAAAACCGGAAACGTGGTTTGAGTAACACCTAGTAGAAAAAAGAAGAAACTTTGGAGAAAATGAGGAGTTAAGCAGAGTCATGATGGTGGCGGGGGCAGAGGTGGGAAAGGCAGTACATGAGGAAGGGCAAAGAGGCCCCTGTGGAATCAACTGACCTCCCCCTCCTAGAGAAGAGCCTGGACACCCCACCATCACCCCATTTCTGCTCCTTGTTACTCCCCCAGTACTAGCTCAGTAGAGCTAGGCAGCCACCCCCTCCCTGCCCCCCAGAATTCTTCCTGTGCAGCCTGAGAGAGACATCCCTGTGAGGGAGGCTCCCTTAAGTCTGTGGACCTCATCCTGGGCCGACACAGCAGCCCTGTCTCATCAGGACCAGCCAGTCCCATCGTGAAGTCAAATTATTTGACGTTTTTATAGGAAGTCACAGCATCACTAGTATTTGAAGTTTTTTTTTTTCTTTCTGCTGAAGTACCGTTTTACATCCTTATTAGTGTTTTGATAGCCTAATGTTCCCCCCTCAGGTGTAGTCATAGCACACCCTCCTGGAAGCACCCAAAGTCGTCCACCACAGTCTGTTGTGTTCCCCGCAGCCTTCTGTGCCTCAGATCTGCGATCTATTCTCAAGGGTTCGTTTTAAAGTCTGTCTCACTTTTTGTTTTGTTTCTCAATATTCCACACAGAAGTGATACTGTTTCGTATTTGTCTTTCTCCTTCTAGCTTGTTTTGCTTATTAATCCTTTCCAGCTCTAGTCATGATGTCATGAAGGGCACATGTTTATCTTTTTTGATGGCTAAGTAGTATTCCATTGTGTGTGTTTACCACATCTTCTTGGTCCACTCATCAGTTTTTGGACATGACATTTGAAGGGTTTTTTGTGGTCACTTCTGATATATTTTCCAGTTGAGAAAGCTGAGCATCAAGTAGGTTCAGAAGCCCAATTCTGCTTCCCTATGGCACCTCCTAGATCCGAAATTGGAATATTCCTGCTAGGAAAGGCAGTTATGGAGGGGAGGGGAGAGATGCTAATCTGAAGAGAGTGAGCAATAGGAACAGGAAAATGCCTATGCTTCCAAGATTCTGTTTTTAGATAATTATTTTTATTACTTTAAAAAGGGCAGAAACTAAAAATACTTGGCATATCAGCACTTTCAATCTTAAATTGATTATTTTTCAAGGTTTTCCATGCAACACCAAGAATGAATTAAATTTCCATCCTAAAAACCTCTGACAGAAGAAATTCATACCTCACATATCATATAATGAAAAAGAGCACAAGCATGGCATTTGCTCATTTTCCTGCAGAAGGGGAAAAAAATGCTTTCCTGAGAAATATTCTTTGAGATCTTTGCATCAGACATCTGTCGAGCAGCTCATTTTCACAACTGAGAGTTATTTTTTTACCTTTGCCCTCTGCCCTGTCTCTTTCTGTTCTTTAATATTTATAGGAGTAAGATAGTTAGCTCCTAAAATAGTTAACAAAATCCTACCTGTTTTACTATTTATGCATTCATTTCTTCTTCTCATAGTAAGCTCAGTAAAACATTTGTTTTTAATAAGAAAAATAGTTGAATAGTTGTTTAAATAAGATTTTTTTTTTTTTTGCTAAAGCTTGAAAGTTCAAGTTCATTTCTGGCATTTGGTTCTATTAGACTCCATTTATTTATTATTGTCCCAGATTAATAGCCTTTTAATTGCAGTTATTAATATATAAAATGCAATATTTATCCTCTCATCCAAGAAAAGAAAAAGAAAAAGTCATAGAATTTATTTGTAATTTTTGGCCCTCTGCCATTTGGTAGCAGAGAAAAAAATAAATGTATATGTTACGGTAAACACACATTTGTTACATTACATTCTGGAGTATACCATCTGTATTTGTCTGTGTACTCAAGAAAATTATATATTGTTCACCTGGGTAGCAATTTGTGTTCTGGCAAAACTTTATTTGCTCTCAGGGGAACCTATTTAATATAATTACATTTAATTGATATTTGTGGTGGTGGATTAAGGAAAAAGGAGCCGTCATTTAATATGCTTCAGGATTTTATGGGTCTTGTATTTCTTGGCTTGGTTTTTAAAATACATTTAACCACATTTTTTAAAGCTAGGTACTTAGATAAATTCAGTCCTTTATTAAAATAGTGCACCAAAGGGGGAGAATTTAACATTATCTAACATCCTCCTGCTAAAACCATAAAGAAAGAATTAATTTTTTCTCCTCCAATATACTCTATTTTATAATTGTGTTGTCTAAGTCTTCACGTGTTGCCTATGAATTCGCTGATGACTTGGCTCACGTCCAGCCCCAGAGGAAAGAATGGTTAACTACTGGCAGGGTTTGCCTCTGACTTTCCTGCCTTCTTCACATTCTCACCTGTGAATTTGGTTTTCTTTTCATGTAAATAGAATTTGCCTGTCAATGTGCAGCAGTTTACTTATTTGTATTGTTTTATTATAATTTTAGTTAATTAATTTTTAATCAACATACTATTAGGACACCCCCATCAGGTTTTGCCACCATAGTGCACCTACCGCCAAGTCACCCACAGTCCATCACCACTATCCATTGGGCTTCTTTCCATTTCTTCTTTCTTCTCCCCTACATCCCCCCTTGATTTATTTAACAGATGGGCCTTGGCAATATTCAAAGCTGTTATAAATGTCAAAACTGCAAAATGATCACTTGTGTTTGTATTACAATTTTTGCTCATGAAATTATCTATTCACTTTTAACTCCTTTTTGAATGTAAGCACTCCTAGCGGGCAACACAGTCACCAGTTAAATAAACTAATTCTATAAGAGGCATAATTGACACCTGTCCCTGTTGACACATGTCATTGTCAGACTTTGTCAGCCCACTCAACCTTGAAGTCAGAATCAGGTTGGATCAACAGCTGGCAAGATTAGTATATTTATGCCTGGGTATATTAATTTTACTTGTGTTGAGAAGAATGATTAGAAAATAAGACTCTATAAGACATAAATATTTTTTTTTTAAACTTCAAGGGAAAAATGTGCTGTGTAAGTGACATGTTTCTGGGCCTTCCTGGTGGCGCAAGGGGTTAAGACACGATCTATGAAGCTGTCCCCAGCCTCAGCAGCATGAGTTCCATCAGCGGCCAGGGAGCTAGCCGCATGGAGCAGGAGACCTTTCCTGACTCGCCCGCTGCTCCCCTCAGCAGTGTACTTTAGTCAGTCTGCCTGTTCTGCTCCCCACTCTGTCTCTGGTGAATCCTCTCACCCCCCACACCTCTGGCCTGTACCCCAGTTCTTGTATGCATAAATAAATAAATCTTAAAAAAATAAAGTGA